TTACTCCTACGTATGAAAAAGTTGATCCCGGAAAATTCTCGGAAGTCGCTAACCGGAGAAATTGACGAAATGACTGCCAGGAAATTGGCGAATTTTTTTACATTACATTATAAATTTTACTACAGTATTTTTGTCAGGCTCAGAGTGATAAAATTGTCAAAGACAAATTAACTTTTTTAAAGTATTTCTTTTAAAAAATGCAGTTAGTAGAAGTTTTTAGTCACCCAAACAGCAATGCAATAAGATATCTTTCGGACAATCGTAGTCATATCCGGAATTTATGGGATATTCCTAGGATGTTGACAAGATATCTGCAGGAAATAAGAAATTTGCAAGGGGATTGAGTAAGAAATCTGTTTTACTAAAATATGGATCAATGAAGATGATGATGATGATGAAGCTTAAAGAGAAAACCACTGCTCCTCTTGAGAACCACGGTTTTCCTTCCGAAAGAAAAACTCAATCGCGCAATCTTTTCGCGTTTCGTCCCTTGTTTGAGTCCTTGACTACGACAAACCGGTTATCTCGCGTATCATCATTTCTCCTCTCCACACGTCTTTTCTAACGTTCTTTTCACTATCTGCTTTCTCCTTTCTATCAACTTCCTTCTTCTGCCTTTCTCTGTTACCCCAATAAATAAATCTAAGTCTATGATTAACTCAAAGTCTTGATCTTCCAGTCTTAGTCTTAGAAAAGTCTAAGTCTAATATCAAGACAATCTCTGACTTTTCCCCGAATTCTTTAATATTCTTTTATGGAAATTCATTTTATATGAGTGAAATTGACTTCCACCGTGAATGCTGCATTGTATTAATTACAAATAACTTTATTACACCACTATATTGTCATTTACGATTTGCGAAATGATTATTTGCAAACGATAAGAATCAAATAGTCCCGTTGACTACAAAATTGATTCTTATAATTCATTTAAAATCCTTTATATCTCGGGTCAGGTATCTTTTGCACATTCAAAAAAAACAGCCAACCTCGGATGGCCGTTCAATTTATGGACAGTCGCTAAGTGACTGGTGGAAGAAGTGTACGTGTGATCCAAAGGAGTAGCATCTGTTTGCAAGTTACGAAAGAAGCTATAGGGAAACCGAGCGAGTCTGGCAATCTGGAAATCAGGGAAGCTTAGGCAGAATGAGCAAACCAAGCGAAAACAAGACTCGCCGGCCGGGTCGGCATCGTTGTCAATCTAGGCAGAGAGGATAGCATAGGAGATAGAGTAGATGGTTAACCAGCCTGATTTAACGTAAGATGAGACTTAAGAGAGAGAGACAGTCCATAGTGAGTGGACCCGAATGTCAGTGTTCAATGAACGAAGAGGGACAAGAGACAGAAAGAAATACATACCTTTCTCGCTCTTCCTCTGCCTCTCTGTCATTCCACATTGATACATGACCACACATCTGTACCTACGAATGAGAGGATGAATCGAGGAGCCATCAGGTGAGGATGGAGGCAACAACATCAGAGAATAGGCTCTTCTCAAAAGAGACGATAAATACCGTCCTCCAGCTCCTGTTGGTCTGAGAAATGCACCGAGGATAACAATCTCGAAAAAAGAGGAAAAGAAGAGAGCATTCGACAAAGACAAGGTCTTTCGTTAGACGAGGACAGTTTCGGTTCAGGACGAGAATAGCTATTTGGTTCAAGACGAAGACATCAATATGAGGCGAACTGAGGCGAACTAAGGCGATGTTGGTGGAAACAGAGACGGGGATAAAGGAGAAACTTGTTTCACAATAAGAACAATAACGCTGAAGATAGAGAGTACACTGTAAAAAGAAAGGTACGAGTTTAGTACTAAAATTGGTACCAAGTACTAATGTAATACCAATTTTGTAACTAAGTACTAATTCAGTACTAATTTTGGCACTAAGTGCTAATTCAGTACTAATTCAGTACCTATTTTGGCACTAAGTACTAATTCAGTACTAATTCAGTACCTATTTTGACACTAAGTACTAATTTTGGTACTAGGTACTAATTTTGGTACTAGGTACTAATTTAGTCCAAATTCTGGTACTAAATTGTAATTTATTTTAATTTTTATACCGAAATCACCTCTAATTTAGAACCTTTTCTTTACAGTGTACAAGACTCAAATAAGTGAAAGTATTCAAAAATACGGACATTACGGACCAAAAATTAAAAATTACGAACCATTTATGGACCAATTATCTCCTGACAAAAATATAACCAGTCCGAGTCAAATAAGAGAACATTTTATTCTAAAGTATAAATTAAATTTTTTCTTAACTATAAAACATAAAGAAATAGATTATTATTATTTTCAAGAATTTCCAACTAAAATTCTTCTTTAAATCGAAATATTTTCAATAATTTTCCAAAAAGTTCTTTGACAATTTTCAAATCCATTTATTTACAATATTCAATTTTACGAAATTGCAATTATTCGTAAATTCTTCAATTAAATATATATTACAACATAAAAAATTCAAATAATATAAAAAAATTCAATTAAGTTTCAAAAAAATTAATTTTAAAATTTAATTATTTCTAAAAGTTCACGCTACATTGCTTTGAATGATCAATTATTATCTAAAATTTTAACCGAAATTCATTTTTAAAACAATTTTTATTAGAAAATTTTATTAGAATTCAAAAATACAAATAATATGCAAATAAATAATTTATTGAATAATTATAAATGTTTCTTAAAATTCAATTCCGATAAAGAATTTTATCAATTTTTTAATAATTGAATTCTTTCGACGAATTTTAATAAAATTTTTAAGAATAATTACATTTTTCGAGAAATTCGATTAAAATTGTATTAAAAATAATTTAAAAATTCTGGGATGAGTTTTATTATTTGTAAAAATAATTGAATCCCTAAGAAGAATTTTATTGTTTTTTAATAATATTCAATTTTTGCGAAAAATATTAGGTACTTTTGAAAATAATTGAATTTCTGCAAAAAATTTGTAACATTTCCAAAATTAAATTTTTTTTCGTGTTTTTAACTCTAATATTCTTCTGTTAAATGCATTATTTTTAATAATTTTTGAAAACGTTTTTTAAGAATTTTCAAATTTATTTGTTTACAATTCAATTTAGTTAGTTAAAAATATGAAAAATTCAGATTTTTAAAGATTTTAATATAAAACCTTTTCAAAATTCGATTATTTCTAAAAATTCACGCATTACTGCCTTTAATATTCAATTGTTATCTAAAATTTTAAATGAAATCTATTTTTAAATCAATGTTTATTAGAAAATTCTACCAGACTTCAATTATTTAAATACAGAAAAGCAGTTTATGGAAAAATTGCATGTTTTTTAAAATTCAATTCTCATAAAGACTTACAATAAATTTCTAAATCATTGAATTCTTTTGACGAGTTTTAATAATAAAACTTTTAAGAATAATTACATTTTTCGAGGAATTCGATTAAAATTATAATAAATAAATATTGAAATAAATATTTAAATATTTAAATATTGAAATTCTGTGATGAATTTTATTATTTATTAAAATAACTGAATAGTTGCATAGAATTTTATTTAAATTTTCAAAAATAATTGAATTCCAAAAAAGAATTCTATTATTTAGAAAAATAACTGAATCTTTGTAAAATAATGTTATCATTTACGAAAATAATTAAATTATTGCGAAGAAATTTAAAAAAAAAATGGTAAATAATTGAATTCCTGTAAAAATTTTATTTTTTATGAAAATGTTTGCGTAGAATTTTAATACTTTTTTTTTAATTATTTGAATTCTTTTAGAAAATTTTATTGAAGTAGTAGATGTGTATAAAAAATCATGAAATTGAAGAAAAATTTTGAAAACAATTGCATTTATGCGAAGAATTTTATTAAAATTTTTGAAATTAATTGAATTCTTGTGATGAATATTATTATTATTATTTATGAATATTATTATTTAATTTTTTTGAAAAAATTGATGCCAATTCTATTCTAAAAATAATTGAATTGCTGTGAAATTTTTATTCCTTTTGAAAATAATTGAATCTTCTTTTATAGAATATTATCAAAATTTTTGTTTAGTAATTGAATTTTTTTGGAAAATTTTATTAAAACAGTAGAATATTGAAAATGAATTGAATTAAGAAAAATTTTTGAGAATAATTTAAATTTTGACATGAATTTTATATTACTTTTGAAAATAATTGAATTCTTGTGATGAATATACTATTATTCATAAAAATAATTGAAATTTCGTGAAGAATTTTATTAAAATTTTTGAAAGTATGTAATTGAATTTTGGAGAAGAGTTTTATGATTTATAAAGATAATTGAAATTTTGACGAGAATTTTATTAAAATTTTTTTAAATAATTGAAATTCGTCAAAGACGTTTATTAAAATTTTTTAAAATAATTAAATTTTGGAGAATAGATAATTGGAATTTTTTAAAGAATTTTATTAAAATTTTTGAGAGTAATTGATTTTTGGGGAAGCGTTTTATTATTTATATCTAAAGATAATTGAAAATTTTTGAAAATAATTGAATTTTTGACAAGAATTTTATTAAAACTTTTGAAAATAATTGAATTACGGAGTAGAGTGTAATTATGATATTCAATTTATAGAGATAATTGAAATTTTGACTAGATTTTGGAGAAAAGTTTTATTTCTAAAGATAATTGAAATTTTGACGAGAATTTAAAAAAAAAATCCCTTCACGGGATTTACGGACCTAGTTCTCGCCCTGAGAGTAGCAAGATAGAGAGGATAAGACAAAGGACAATGATATAAAAAGACGTGGATGAAGGAAGGGACTAATGTCGCCAAGGGGTCGATAAGGACGCGAAGAGTCCAGTTACACGAACAAGTGGGAAGAAGAGAAATGAAAAGATAAAGAGAGAGAGGGAGAGAAAAGCAGAGAATCCGACAGGTGGTGGTGGTGGTGGTCAGCAGGCTTCGTTGCTGTTCAACACTTGCTCCATGGACCAAGATTTGCCCCCTCCTGCCGCGGGCGGCGCCACTCGGATCCTTTCCTCTTTTCGCCTCTAGGCCATTCTCGAGAGGCGCGCGCGCCAAAGCGGTATGTCCAGATCTCACGTCTTCAATTTAACCAATACGCGTGCGCGAACCTGCTTTCCCGGGAACTTTTCCGAATCCTGCCACGTGACACCAGCCACGTGACTTTTCGCGAACGTCATCATCAAAGAATATCGCGGATGTGCCTTTGGACTTTCCCCAGTGCCGAAATCCATCATCAAAACTTATCGACATCGGTATGTGGATGTTGAAATATCGGAGCATTCGCGCACGAATTGAAGGACATTCGCGAAAGTCGTTAGTGAAGTGTATTCAACAATTGCCATTCAACAATTTCCCCTCTTCCTTATTATCTCCTAAAAAAAACTACATGCCACCTAAAAACTTGAAGGCACCTCGAATGTAGGTGCACATCAGCAAAAGTCTGAAAATCAGCTATGTCGGTACTCGAGGGGAGCGAGGTTGATAGAGCCACAATGTCCCCATTGGACGAAGTTGCGTCTCCGACTAGCGTCGGCTCCGAACTGATGGTTACGGACATGTTAGATGAGCATGATTCTGATTTGAGTGATCATAGAAATGGAAAAAGCAAGAGGAGCACTGATGGAGAGGGTCTCAGTCCAAGAAAACTTCCTTCCTTGTCCAGTAATAATAATGACGTTGGATTTGTTCTCGAAGAAAGCGGTCAAGATGCTCTACACGAGGATGTAGACAATGTAAGTCCTCTTAATTCCTTTTCAAATTCCTCTCGACTGAAGAAAGAATATTTTCTTTTTCAACAGGGGAATTTTCTTTAAAAAAGCATCTATTCAATAGCATATTCTACGGATTTGATTACATAATTCGAAGAATGCTCCTTCTTCTTAACGATAATAGAAAGATTATGTGTTCACTTTCAAAATAAGTGAAAAATGAAATCAAAGAAGATATTTTGATTCATCTGTTAACAACAATAGGTTCCCAGTGGGCAAAAGAAACATTCACCTAAAACTAAACGACATTTCATGTCTTCGAAATTTTTTATTTTTGAACCATGGACAAAGTATGGTTGATGAGGAGAAGAGAAAAGGTTTTTTCTTCATATTTTCAAAGTTTATTTGTAAAATTTTTAAACTACAAGCTTCGCACTCATCTACTAAAACCAACTATTTACTATTTTCTTACGCAATGCTACTATTTGGGTACTTTTTTTAGATTTCAGCCACTAAAAGCTACTATTCCTCTTTTTTTGAGAATTCGCACTACTCTAAATTCGCTGATACTAGAAATCAAAAAACTATTCTCAAAAGTTATAATCAAATTTTTGAAAACGATTCAATTATTTTTACAGAAATTCAATTATTATTTATAGCAAAGTTAAAATTTCCATAATATTTATTATATTTCGAAAAAATTAATCATTTAAAACAATGTTTATAACATTCTTATGAAGAATTCAATTATTTTTCAAAATAACAAAATTTTTCAACAGAAATTCAATTCTTTTTAAACATTTTAACAAAATTTTTTGCAATAATTCAATTGTTTTCATAAATAATAAAATTTATCGCAGGATTTCAATCATTTTTGGAAATTTTAATAAAATTTTATGCAACAATACAATTATTTTCATAAATAATAAAATTTATCGCAGAATTTCGCAATTATTTTTAATACAATTTTACAAGAATTGCTCAAAAAATCAAATTTCAATTCCTCAAAAAAATCAATTAATTAAAAAAATGTTTTTTTTTAAATTCTTTGAAAGAATTTAATTATTTAGAAAAATATTAGATTTAACAAAGGAATTCAATTAATTTAGAATAGCATTTTAAAAAACAATACAAAAAATCAATTATTTAACCAAATTTTTATACAATTCTTCACAATAATTCAATTACTTTCACTAATAATAACATTTTTTTATGAAAATTCAATTTTTTTAAAAAAATTTTTGGTAAAATTCTAAGCAAGAATTCAATTAATTTTTGATAAAAAATGTTTCATAAAAAATAAAACTTATCGACGAATTTCAATTATTTTTAAATATTATTTTAAATTAATAAATCGAAAAACTCAATTATTTTCCAAAGTATTAAAATTCTTCACAGAAATTCAATTTTTTATTATCAAATTTTTTTAAAATTCTTTTTGAAAATTCAATTATCTTTATAAATAACAAAATTCTTTTTCGAAATTCAATTATTTCCAAAAATATGAATAAAGATTCTTGTCAAAATATCAATTATTTTCAAAAAATTTCATCAATTCAATGAAATAATTTTTTAAATACAATTTAATACCTACTTAAAAAAAATTTTGATGAAATTCTACGCAAACATTAAATTATTTTCATAGATAATAAAAATTCCACAGTAATTCAATTATTTACAAAAAATTTTATAAATTTCTTTGAAAAAATACAATTATTTTCATAAATAATAAAATTTTTCACTGTGATTCAATTATTTTGATAAATAATAAAATTCATCTTAGGATTTCAATTATTTTTAATACAATTTTGCAGGAATTGCTCAAAAAATGTAATTATTCGTAAAAATTTAATTTCAATTTCTTGGAAAAATCAATATTATTTAAGAAAATGTGTTTTCTAAATTCTTTGGGATAGTTTAATTATTTACAAAAATATTAGAATTCTTCTCAGGAATTCAATTATTTTCAAATATTTTAATAAAATTGTTCGAAAGCAATCAATTATTTTTAATACAATTTTAATTAAATTTTTTTTGAAATAATATTAATCTTTTAGATTTTAATAAAATTCTTCCCAATAATTCAATTATTTAGATAAATAATTCTTTGAAAGAATTCAATTATTAAAAAAAATTAAAAAATCATTACCGAAAATTTAATTATTTTGAGTCATTTCAATAAAATTCTTTGCAAAATTCAATTATTTTCATAAATATCAATATTCATCACCAGAATTCAATTATTTTTAAAAGTAATACATCTTTTCTTGGAAATTCAATTATTTTTAAAAAAATTCTAATAAAATCGTTCGCAAGAATTCAATTATTTTCATAAATAATAAAATGCTTTTTAGACATTTAATTATTTAAAAAAAAAAATTTAATAAAATGACATACAAATATTCAATTATTTTAAAAAATTTGAAGAGAATTCTTTGTAAAATTTAATTATTTTTAAACACTTTTCACAATTCAATGATTTTCAATATCTACTATTTTCATAAAATTTCCAAACAGAATTCAATTATTTAAAGAATTATTTTTTAAATCTTCGTAAGAATTTAATTTTTTTCATGAATTATAAAAATTTCTCGGGAATTCAATTATTTAAATTGGAATTTGCATAAAATTAGTCAAAAGAAATCAATTTTGAAAAATTTTTATAAAATTCTTCGCAAAAATTAAATTATTTTTATAAAATATTTAAATTCTTTAATGAATAATAAAATTCGTTTTTTTTTATATTTTCAAACAGTGGGCAAAGTAGTCAAACCATGAGATTTTGTTCCCTTTGACGTACTTTGCCCACAGTTTGAAAATCTAAAAAAATTGCTATTCTTCTTCACATTGTTTGGCATACTTTGCCCAAAGTTAAAAATATTTGACAATAAATATTATGTGATTTTATCACTCGGTTGTTTTATTAAATATTTGACAATAAACTCTTGAAAATAGGGAAGAAAACGTTTTTTTCTTCTCCTCGTGTATTATCGCACGTAGTTTGCCCATTGAAACTTATTTTTTGCCCACTGGGTTCGAACTTTTGTTGAGTAAAAACAGTTTTACAATTCAAAAACTCTTGTTAGAAGCCAGTATTCATTTGCATGTTTAGATTTCTATAAGTGAAAATTCTTTAAAATCTTTTAAAGTAGAGAATGAAGTATTCATATACCTGAGCAATACAACGGTAAACTAGTTGTCATAACTATAACTCTTTTACGATCATCGTAAAAGAGTGGCTATACGACCTCAAGTAAAATTTGTCACAACATTTTTGCCGCAGAGGAAGTTGTAGATGTCTCATTAGTACAACATCTAGAACTACATAATTAATAGCTACAATAACAACACTGCCCAGAACAATTGTACATTCTTGCCTTTCTTCCTAAAAAACAGTTTTCTTTTCGAATCTTTTAAAGGAAAAAACTACACTAACAAACCTACTAGAACAACAATTGTAAATTCTTGCTTTTCTTTCTAAAAAACTGTTTTCTTTTCGAATCTTTTAAAGGAAAAAACTACAATAACAAACCTACTAGAACAGCAATTGTAAATTCTTGCCTTTCTTTCTAAAAAACAGTTTTCTTTTCGAATTTTTAAAGGAAAAAAAATGTCTTAGAAAGGAAGTACGGAGAGACTATAACGAAACTGATAAACTCTATAGGATTATGAAAGAAGGTCTAAACTTTGTCTTTTCCGAAGATTCGAATTTTGAATGGAAGGAATGTTTCGAAAGGAAGTATGGAGAGTCTAACGAAACTGATAAGTCTAGGATTATGAAAGAAGACCTGAACCTTGTCTTTTCCTCCGATTCCTGGAATATCGAGGACTGCGAGTTTCTGCTTGAGTTTCTGTATTCGCTTTCTTTGGAAGACAAGAGGAGACACATCTCGCCTTAGGCAAAGAGCGATACGAGTTTATTTTATACTTCTCTGCATGAAGTTGGTCTCTACCGTTCTCACTTGCAGGAGAGAGAAGGAGAAAAGTGAGGGTTCCCCAGTCACCCCGAGGGTGCTTCAGCTTTGAGTCACTGCTACACCTTCAGACAGTTCGTGTTTACGGACATGCACCATTACTTATGTCTTATGCTTCCATTCGCGTGTGGATATAGAGACGCTTCTTCTTCTTCTTCTTTTTCTTCTTTTTCTTCATTTTTCCTTTCCCCCCTTGAACTTCTCTTTCTTCAGCTCTTGGATCTTTCGCACTTGTTTAACGACACAACACAACGAGAGAGGCTTCGCTTGGTTGCGGAAATGAGGACAGTATAAGGCGCGTAGGCAGAAGAGTCGTAGGATAAGCATTAAGCACTTTGACGAGGTCACAAAACTGGTTTCAGGAAAAATCTATGAGCGAACCGACTCCTCTCCTCTCCTCGAGATATGGCAAACGCACCGTCCATTCGTTCGTTCGTTCGTTTTGATGGATTATGATTGTGTGTACTTTTGGTGTCATGGTGTGGAATTTGGCGAATCCTGACGTAATAATTCATTTGCGTAAGCTCTTATGCATATTCATAGAGAAATTTGTCTTCGAAAATTATTCCAAGACTTTTAAAGAGATAATTCATTCGAGTCCTAATAGTATACCTATGCAGATGAAAATAATTAATGAAAATATTAATGAATCTGTATTTAAAAGTATTCTGAAACAATATTTAAAACAATATTTATTTTATAATTGATTCTTCAATTGATCAAATCTTTATATTTTCAACCACTGTTCATTAATCATTTTTAATCCGAAGAAATATACGATAATAGTCTTTTTCTCTGGATTCATGTGATTAGCTCTCGAAGAGAGAAAGTAACAATTATTGATAAATTTATCATTTGCATTTCTACTTTTGTATGGGCAGGGTTGACACAGGTCAGGGGAATCAGGGAATAGTCGGGGATTTTTATTAAAAGTACTGGTAAAAAATTTAATTTTTAGAATTCATAAGAAAATTCTGTATTTTGGTGTCTTTTTTGTTCGCCTCATTAATTGAATTTTAAAAGAGTTGCATTTACAATTTCCATGATTTC